AAAAAAAATGGTTGAAATTCCAAGTTAGATCAAGAAAGCAGTCATCACCTGTGATATTTCTTAGCATCCTGTTGCACCATCTCAATGATGGGCTGTGCTTGTGGCATGTTAGAAGGACGACCGACCTTAACACATAAATTCAGAGAAGACAAAACAGTGAATCTAAAACGGCCCTCACAAATAAAATTCACACAATTTTAGTGCTTGAAATTAGAATTAATGAGGTTCACTCTAGTTTAAAAAAATACCTTCAGATTTCTTCCGCCCATAAGCTGTCCGTTCATAGATTCCTGAGCAAGGAGAGCAGCTTCTGGCACGTCAAACTCTAGGAACGCAAACCCCTTGTGATGCTGAATGGACTATGTTGACTACAATAATTTTTTGAATCCTAAAGACACTCACTCCGGTGGTTGGATCCCAGCTCATGTTGATGCTTTTGATCGGACCGTATACTTCAAAAGCCTTCTTTATCATTTCTTCCCTGACTTCAAACGATATCGATCCTATGTATACACGTGCCATAAGTGAGAGCGCCTGCGCATACATCGCTTGTTTTTGTTGCTAAAAGGGTAAAAGAAAAGTATGATAATTAAACGAAAACCAGTAATCAAGAATGAAGAAAATCTTTATATACATTTTCGTGATGAGCCTTTTGCTGACGCAGCATGATCTGTTTAATCGAAACATCCATTGCGTAACGTTTAGCTAGATGAAGGTCGTCTTTTCTTCTGGAACTCAGTTTTGTTAGACCCAAACCCAGTAACTGCGCTTCGCGCTTCGATCCTGGGCCGACAAACACCTAAACGAGACGTGAATATAACAAAATAGGCTGAAGTTTTGTACTGCAAAAAAAGATAAAGAAGACTAGTAATCAAACTGAAAGTCTTACCTCTCCATGCTGTTGCAGCACAGGCATTGCCACCAATGTTTCAGCATGCACTGTTGATGCTGAACCACCCGCGGGCACCGATGCTGAAGAGGGGGCCTCGGATTTACGAACATCAGAAGGTGGTAACTCAACAGAAAACTCCTGATTGTGAGCGTTCCCTGTTGATAAGGGGTAAATTCAGAATTTCCGAAAAGAAAAGATCAATTTTACCATTTTCAGTTGTTTCGTGATTTGAAGGAGGGGGTGTATTGCTTTCAATATCCATGTCAGTCATAACTATTCTGAAATAATTTTAAACATACAGACCAGGCTAGTACGAGAAGCGAGACGAAAACAAACAAGAAGTCAGAAAGAAGGAACAG